TCCTCCTGCTCCTCCTTCTCCTCCTCCTCCCCCCCTCTCCCCCTCCTCCTCCTCCTCCTCCTCCTCCTCCTCCTCCTCCCTCCTCCTCCTCCTCCTCCTCCTGCTCCTCCCTCTCCTCCTCCTCCTCCTCCTCCTCCTCCTCCTCCTCCTCCTGCTCCCCTCTTCCTCCTCCTCCTACTCCTCTTCCTCCTCGTCGCCCTCCTTCTCCTCCTCCTCCTCCTCCTCCTCCTCCTCCTCGTCCTCCTGCTCCTCTTACTCGTCCTCTGCATCCTCCCTCCAGTCCCCTCATGTCCCCTCCTATCCCCTCCTGCCTCAGCATGCCTCCTCGCTCCTTCACTAAGAAACCCCATCTCAGTACCACCCCCCCTCTCCGTACTTTCGAGCACCTGTCCCGCATACGGACTCTGTGAGAAAAAGAGTGCCACGGACTGGCTTGCGCTCCGACCATGCCCATTCAGAACGTTCTCAGCCTTCGGAAGCATGTGGCCGCTGAAGTGCTGGCAACAATTCTGGATCGTCGTTCTGCTCCCGTCGCTCAGAACAGCGCTGTCGCCCCAGTGCGGCCCGTATTTCTGGAATTCCGTCCCTTCCTCGTCGCCGCCCCCTCTCATCTCCAGGCCCTCTGGCTTCCCCTGCTCCTGATGCTCCTCCCGCTCCTCCTGCTCCTGCTCCTGCTGCTCCTGCTGCTGCTCCTGCTGCTGCTCCTGCTGCTGCTCCTGCTGCTGCTGCTCCTTCTTCGTCCTGCGCATGCTTTCCTCATGATGATCCTCCTGCTCCTCCGCCACCCGGGGGGGATCGATCTTCGGGAACGTCGGCAGGCACGGACGAGCATAGATCGACATCTCCGCCGCCTGCCGAGGTCCTCGAAGATTGACCCTCCCCCGCTGTGGTAATGGACAGGTGCCGCCTCCGCCTCAGACTGCGGTCGGGAACATTTGCTTGGCGTGTCGCGGCATGGGCCCCCCCTGGGGTGCTCTGCCCTGCGAGTTGGTAGCGTGTCGCTACGCTCCGCGGGACGGGAGGCTGGGGAAAGCGCGGGACGTTGACTTTGGGACTGGGAGGCACTCCGCGCAGATCCGAAAACGCCAGAGACGTATAAGCAGCGCTAAACACACGCGAGGAATCTTCCCAACCCTATACCTAGACGTCCTCCGATCTTATTTGTGCAATCCGCGGCTCCTTCGGCCCGGACCCAATTCAGACACCCCCCACAGGCCCGACGGCGAGCCCCAAAGGCTAGGCCGGGGTGGAGAGAGGAACAGGCCGAGGAGGAGGACGACGTCTTCCTGATCATGGAGAGCTCGGTGTACAGCGGGATCGAGTCGCCAGGCCGGCCAGGGAACGGGCGAAGGCCCTCGGCCGAGCAGTCGCTGGTGCGGGCGTGGTAGACGTAGAACCTCGGGGGGGGGGAAGATGAGGGAGAGGGGGGGGGAGGATGAGGGAGGAATACCAGGAGGGGTGGAAGCTGTGATGCCGCTAGGCTGTGATGTCGGGGCGTGGCCCTCGGGCCGCGGTGACGTCCCGCCACGTGCGCACGCAGCCCGTGCAGTAGGGGCCCGACTACAAGAAGCCTTCCCCAAGAAGCCCAACCCTGTGCCCCCGCGAGGCGTCCGTCGATGTTTGGTGTGGGAACGCCTCGTGTCCCATGGCAAAACCATCGAAACCCAAGTAACCCAGGGCATCCTGGAGGCAAGCTGGGTGTGTCTTGGCATGGGTCTCCACTGTAGACCTCCTCTGGGCCATCTTGGGTCTTCCTAAACGGGGGTTTAGCTAAACGGGGGCCTAGGCTTTTTCGTATGCCCCCGTTTACTGCGCCCCCGTCGACAGCGCCCAGGGCCCCCTAAACGGGGGGCACAGCCAAACGTGGAAATCGGCGTTCCCCGTGGCCCCCATTTGCTGATCCCCCGTCTCTGTTGAGCAGGGACCGACCGTCCCGGCATTCCTATAGTCCTACCACGAACTGTTCTTAGAACCCGAAAATGTTCTAATAACAAAAACCATGTTTTTAGAACATAAGCCCACCGTGTTTAAAAAAAAAGCCCCAGCCAGAAATGTTCTAAGAACATTTCGCGGAAACCACAAAAAGTTCTTCGCGGAACATTTCGCGGAAATGTTCTAAGAACATTGCTTGGTGGGACTACAAGCGAGCCGGGACGCTTCGCCGCTGCTTGACTCTGGCGCCCTGGCTAGCGCGACAGGGCCTGCAGGCAGGCCGCCTGCGCCAGCAGCGGAGCCCTCGTGCCTCTAGGGCGCACATGCTCTACAGGCGCCTCTCGCCACGTGCATGCCGCACCCGCGTCAGCGCGGCCAGGCCCACCCAACGGCATCGTCTAGCCTCAGGCCGGGCGTGACCCCCTACAGGCGGAGCTTGGGCGAAAAACACCATCAAGGCCCCGTAGACCCGGACACGCTGGAACCGGACACCCAATATCCCTCGAAACCAGCTTTTCCAAACGGCGGCACGAACAAAATACTGCACCGCAGCATTTCCACAATAAACACGGATACAGGCCCCATAAGCCTGCAAGACCCCCCTTAACCCGGACACACACCCGAATCCTGCAGCACAGCAAACAAAAAATGCACATGTGCTGAAAAACCTGACTTTGCAGGAAAAGATGTCGTTTCCTTGATTTTCCGTGTCCTGGCTTATCTGTGTCCTGGTCTCTGGGGGCTTGACACAATATAGACAAGACATATTCAACAATGCGCCGGCTCCCTTGTGGGGCCACCAGGTCGTAGGCCGAAGGTTCGCCGTTTCCTGTGCCAGTTGCAGCTGCTAGTTTCCACTGTCACAGTTCTGCTTCTTGCTGCTTACTGCTCCTTGTTGATGGACCGCGCGGGGAGGGGGAGGCCCAAACGGGCAGGTTTAGCACGCCCTGAGCGTGTTGTCTGAATTGCTGGGGTGGGTAAAAACTGACACCACTCACGCAGATCGGCGGGGTCAGGGTCCAAAAACACCGGGGATTTGCCACATTTCTGAAATTCGGTGGCGCCCCTCACGCAGATCGGCGGGGTGAGGGTCCAACAACACGTGGGATTCGCCACATTCCTAAAACAAAGCTGGCACCCCTCACGCAGGTCGGCGGGGTCAGGGTCCAAAAACACATGGGATTTGCAACATATCTGACATTCGGTGGCACCCCTCACGCAGATCGGCGGGGTCAGGGTGCAAAAACATAGAGGATCCACGTTTCTGAAATTCGGTGGCACCCTTCAGGCAGATCCGTAGGGTCAGGGTCGCAAAACAAACAGATCACGACATTGCTTCACGGCGGCGCCCAGACCTCATGATTTAGCTATTGCATCTCCCATTCTCCGAGACAGGGGGCCGGCGGCATGGGGCAGGGGGCCGCCGACTGGAGACAGTAACAAATCGTCGCCTGACTCTTTGTTTTTACTATTTTTGAATTTTCCTCCAGCCAGTCCCCTCGTGTCCAGCGTGTCGCTCAGCGCCCGCCGGCACCCGCCCGCCCGCCCCAGGTCCGCGACACGCCTCCTGCAGACCCCCGCAGCGCGGCGCACAACGGTTCGAGCATGGGCCCGTGGGCCCGCTCCTGACGCAGCTGGCGCCCCCAGCGCCTCTCAGCGACCGTGTTCTGGCCACCACTTCCGCGGGCACCCGCCCTGCGACCCGCGCCACCGACCAAGCCCGAAAGCATCGCCACGAGCCAGGGCCTCATGGCGCCCAGCGGAGGCCTGTGGGCGGGCGGCGGCCGCAGGGGGAGAAGGTCAGTGTACTGTACGGGATGAGCCCCTCGTTGCTGATGGCCGCAAGCTGGAGCAGAAACCGCGCCTGTTCCTGCGCCGCAGCGCGGATGGAAGGTGGAAGAAAAAGCGCACCTGCGTCTGGAGGGAGTAGGGCAAGGGAGGTAGAGGAGGTGGAGAAGATGGAAGCGGGCAGCATAAGAAAGGGAGGGGGCCTCCCCGCGACCACGCTGCGAGGGGGTGCCTCGGCCGACCCTGTCGCGGTCGTCGCCGCCGTCGCCGCAGCTCGCCGCCGCCGCCGCCAGTTGTCGTGGCTCGCCGCCGCCGTCGCCGCCGCCGCGGCACAACTGCGGTCACCGCTGCTGCCGCCGCCGCTCGCCGCCGCCGCTCGTCGGCCGTCGCCGCGTCGGCGGCGCCGATACCGCCGCCGCTGTCCGTCGGCCGTCGGCCGCTCGTCGGCCGCCGTCGTCGCCCGTCAACCGCCGTCGCCGGCGCGGCAGCGGGCGCAGGAACAGCGTCTTCAACCGCCGCAGCAGCGCGAGTCGCTCGGGCACCGCGGCCAGGAGCAGCGCATCGTCCTCGGCCACCTGCTGCTCGTGGGTTGGGGGGCAGGTTGTGGGAGGTCTTCGTGAGAGCGGTGAAGGGCTATATGATCCATGATCCTCAGAACGTGGGTTAGCACCGTCATGGGCTTGTCCACCAACGCCCGTCCATGGACGCAGGCGGTGTAATGAGGAACGCCACAAACTGCGGGCAGCCGGTGGAACTGCACGGGTTACACACATTGGGCTACGTAATACAAGTCCTGAGGATCACCATCGAGGTTCAGCTGGAGTACGAGTGGGACACTGTGAAATATCAGCCCAAGACTAAGCCGAGGATTGAATGGAGCTGAACCGCATCAAGCGGCGTTTAGCAGAACTACGCTGGATCAGGCCAGATCGGGCCGGTTTTCGGCCACGCATGTTCCAGCACCGCCTCCGAGCGGAGAATTAGGTCGGGCGTGTCCTCCTACAGGCGGATTTTGGACGAAGAATTCAAAAATAGTCAGGATGTGCTCACATACCAAAAAAGGTCCCCATACTATTGTTTGTACTATGTTTGAAAATTCATCCTGTAGTAGAGGGACATGCCCGACTTAGACGAGCCCGAGATCCTGTGTTCGCACCCTGGGCGACCTCGCGCCCCTCCTCGGACCCCGATGCCCCCCCGGGTCGAGCAGGCCCGAGACATGCCACTGGGGGAGGAAGGGGCTGTATACAGCCGGGGCTAATTGGAGAGGGCACGCGAGGGGACAGAAAACCCTCCCGAGGGCCACGTTGCCATAGGAATGTAGAAGGCATGGGTCGCGAGACACTGGACACGAGGGTACACTTGATTTGGCAGGGTCGACCCACGAATCAGCCCTGGACTGTAGGCTGTATAGGACAATGCAGCAGGCTCCCTCGCGCAGGCGCGACGCGGCGCCGCGCTTCGGCGACGCCGCCGGCGGGGGCATGCGCGACGGCCGCTCCGCGACCCGCACTGCGATCCCGACTGAAAAGGCACCAGCCCTCGCAGCGCTCGCTGTGCTTAGTGGGTCCTGGAAACGACAGGGCAATTTTTGTTACCGGTTCCGTTCTGCCGTTTGTTTGCCGGTTCCGACGCCGATTGTTTACCGGTTCAGCCGTTTTTCAACCCTGAAATTAGCCCTCCCTCCAAGCTCACTCTTCAAAGGCCCCTACAACGTTGCATGTTCATTGAGGGAACTGCCTCGTTGGAAGACAACCGTTTGAAGACCCTGAAGCATGCCAAAACATAGTTCTCTGGATTTCAACGCCAACCTGACTGCTGCGCCTTGACGATCTGGGATCGTGCCAGAACGCCATGCTTGGAACTTCGACACCGCGCGTCAGCATACATTTTGCACCCGCATAATCCTGAGTTTTTCCGAAACACTATTGCTGGTACGTTAATCATGGGAAATCGTGAATATCTTCCATATGTTCTGAACGAATGCGCGCGGCGCTAAGGCGAGAGCCACATTTTGAAAAAGATCTGCCGTCAACCCGTGCAGCTCTTGCAACTTGTCTAGACGAATGTGCTCGGCGCTAAGGCGAGAAACACAATTTGAAAACGCCCCGCCCTACATCCGTGAAACTCTTGCAATTCGTTAAAACGAATGTGCACGGCGCTATGGCGAGAGCCACATTTTGAAAACCGACCACCCGCCCTCAATCCGTGAAATTCTTTGCAAATTGTATCAACGAATGTGCGCGGCGCTTAGGCGAGAGCCACAGTTTGAAAACCACCCGTCCCCCATCTCTGAACCTGTTGCTACTTTTAAGCTTCAGAGTAGTAAGCGGTGAGGACGTCAGGCGAAACGCCTGGCCCGCCCTAACAACTGGCCTCGGGGTGCGACAGGGGGACAAAAAAGAGGCGGAGGACCCAGCGCTACATCAAGTGCCCGTGCCACGAGTCCTGATCCGCAGGCGGGCCGCAACGCATTACAAGGCATATGTACAGAACAACTCGCGCCAGAGCAAGGCCTCAGCGTGCAGCTCCCGTTCCTGAGGACCCGGCACGAAGAAGAGGAGGCTGAGTATGATGAGGCTGAGGCCAAAGAGGCGTGGAGCTGCCCGGGCCGCACCCTGGCGGCTTTCGGCGGCACGATGAGTCAACACGACATGACGGAACTGGATGGCGCCCTAAGCTTCAAAGCCACTTGCGTGCAGATTGTGCTGGCAGACTCGAGCACATCGGCCACATCTCCACGCACAATGTAACTTCACCCGAGAGCTTGCAATGATGTGCGCAACTTGCTGAGCAACGACGAGCCCAACTGCCAGTGTCTTCCTTGTTCGCACATGTTAACAATGTCCTCGTAGATGCTAGGGTCGGGCTCTTCTTCCAGTTCCCGTAATGTCTGGAAGAGAAGCAGCGCATGCTGCCACTTGCCGCCCCTCTGGCATGCGCTCACAGCCGCACTGTAGCAAATGACGCTCGGCTGCAATGACACTTCATCGAGGTCGGATAGCAACGACAAAGCATACTGCCACTGCCCGCTTTTCCCGCATACGCTGATGCCAGCACTATAACCAATGATGTTGGATTCGATCAGAGCTTCACGCAGCTCGTACAACAAAAACAAAGCTTGCTGCCACCGTCCACTTTTTTCGCTCGCGCTGATTGCAGCATTATAGCTGACGACGTCCGGCTCAACTACTAATTCCACCAACTCTTTCAGGAGCATGGCAGCCTCCTGCCACCGCCCGCATTTCTCGGAAGAGCTAATCAATGCATTGTAGCAAACGACATTCAGCTCCACTGCATGGTCCACCATCTCGGAAAGCACAGATAAAGCTGCCTGCCATTGCCTGCCTTTCTCGCAGGCGCTGACCATAGAACTGCAGGTGAAGACATCTGGATCGAGTTTCGCGCAGAACATCTCTCTCAGCAAGCACAAGGCTCCCTCCCAATGACCACACTTCTCGCACGAGCTTATTCCAGCGTTGTAGCTGATGAGGTTCGGGACGAGCGCTGCTTCCCGCAAAGCAGTGAGCAAAGACACTGCTCGCTGCCACTGCCCCGCTTTCTCGCACGTGCTGATCGCAGCATTGAAACTGATCACTTCTGGGACCAACTGCGCATGCCTCAATTCACTCATCAATGACAATGCGTGACGCCATTGTCCGCCTTTTTCGCATGCGCTGAGGGCAACGTTATAATTTATAACACATGGCTGCAACTTCGCTGCTCGACATACTCCCAACAAGTGCAAAGCATACTCCCACCGATCACCTGTCCCGCACGCGTTCGATGTCATGCTGTAGCTGAAAACATCTGGCGTTATCTTGACGTGCCGCGCCTTAACCAATAATGCCAAAGCGTGTTGCCACTGGCCACTTTCCCCGAACGCCTTGATTACACCATTGTAGCTGATGATGTTCGGCTCAAGCACCGCCTCCCGTAAATTGCTCAACAACGATAACGCCAACTGCCACTGTTCACCTTTGCTGCACGACCTGATGACAACATTGTACGTCATATCGTCTGGGTCAAGCCTCCTCAGTCGGAGCACTTTTAGCAGAGACAAAGACTGCTGCCACTTCGATCCTTCATCGCAAGTCCGAAGTAAGGCGTTGTAGCTGAACATGTCCATCTCCAAAGTCGCCTTTCGCGAGCGTCTAAACAGCGAGAAAGCCTGCTGCCACTGCCCTTGCTTCTCACATGCGCTGATTCCGGTAGTGGAGCTGACTAGCCTGAGGTTTCGTCTATTTATATATATATATATATGAAATCTATGTATTCGTATACGTGTATATATGTATGAGTCTATATAGTGTGTAGATGTCTATATCTTTCTCTTTTCTAATCGAGTGTAACATAGTGTGGCATATTATGAGTGGCCTTCCGTGCAAACCATCGTTCTCCAGGGCCCGCCATGTTTGGGCTCCGCTAGGGTGGGACCTACAGTGGTTTCTAGTTTTCTACGTGGTGAAATTTACATGGTGCGAACTTTTTGTGGTGCGAGGGGCGTGATATACGTAGTGCAATCGATGTGGCGAAATCCACGCGGTGTTATAAATATATATATATATATGTATATATATATATATACATATGGTGCAATTGCAATGCAATGCGCTGCAATGCAATGCGATTGCTGTGCGCTGCAATGAGATCGCAATGCAATGGGCCGGCGAAGCGACGGCGACGGGCGGCGACGAGGCGTCGCCAGGTGGCGACAAGCAGCGACCACAAGCCATCTGGGGCGGCACACAAGCCCGCGACGAGGCGACGAAGCGGCGACGGGCGTCGAGAAACGGCAACGGGGCGACCGCAAGTCGGCCAGGGCGACACACGAACCCAGATCCCCAAAAAGATTCACGAACCACTAAGTGCAAGCAATGATGAGGAATCGGTTTAGGGTTCAGGGTGTAGTTAGGGCCCACTAGCTCAACCCGAAGCCTTCTGGATGTATCCCACCCACCCATGACCCTAGACATACCGGACTCAATTCATCGAGGGATCGATGCTCGAGCATACGACGAGGGTGACGGCGACGCGCGCCAGCCCGCGCGACGGCGCGCGCGCGCCAACGCGGGCGGACTGGATCCGAACGGGAGACACGCGCGCGAAACTTTTATGAATCTTCTGAGTCTCATGAATCCTCCGAGTCGCGCGCGCAGGAATTAGCCGCCATGCGGGAGAGGCGCGATCCGAGCGCGGGCGCGCATGAAGGGGGGGGGGGGTAGGAATGAGCCGCCATGCGCGAGGAGACACGATCCGTGCGCGGGCACGCATGGAATGAGGGTTTAGGAAGCAGCCGCCACGCGGGAAGAGCACGAGCCGTCTGCGGGCACGCATGGAACGAGGGTTTAGGAATTACCGCTTCGCGGGAAGCACGCCCCGCCCTCGGCGTCGCTGGCGCGTGGCCGAAGTTCGCCCGTCGACGCCCTCCGCGTGCTGGCGGCCACGCGCCGGGCGAATGTCACTCCCCGCGGTCGCATCGCTACCGCTTCGCGGGAGCGCGCCCCGACTGCCACGCGTGACCTTTGGGGCATCTTTGCGGGGCTCACGGGCGCCTGGGCGCCTGGGGCCGTCTGGGAGCGCATAGGACCGACGTTGGCCGTCTAGGGGCAGTCTTGGAGGCGTCGCGGCCTTCTGGGGCAGTCTTGGAGGGTTCTCGCGGGCGCCCTGCGCCGTCGTGGAGCGCGTGGAGGAGCGACTTGGGCTGTCTAGGGGCAGTCTTGGGCGAGCCTCGCGAGCGCCAGGGGGCGTCTTGGAACGCATTGGGAGGGGCCTGCGCCGTTCAAGGATCGCTTGGATTGTTGGGCGCGGGGTTTAGAAATTAACCGTCATGCGAGACGGGCAGACTCCGGGCGCCTGCGCGCATGGGAGAAGGGTTTAAGAATTAGCCGCCATGCGGGAGGCGCAGATTCCGCGTGCCTGCACGCATGCGATGGGGGTATAAGAGTTTGCCGCCATGCGGGAAAGGGGCAGAATCCGCGTGCATCCACGCATGGGATGGGGGTTAGGAATTGGCCGCCATGCGGGACGGGCAGAATCCGAGTGCCTGCACGCATGCGATGGGGGGTATAAGAATTAGCCGCCATGCGGGAGAGGGGCAGAATCCGCGTGCCTGCAAGCTTGGGGTCGGTGTCTAAGAATTAACTGCCAAGCGGGAGGGGCATAATCAACGTGCCTGCACGCGTGCGGAGGTTTTAGAATTAGCCGCCATGCGGGGAGGGCGGAATCCGCGTGCCTGCACGCATGCGAGGGAAGTTTGGAAATTGGCCGACATGCGGGAGGGGCACGATCCGTGCGCGGGGGGGGGGTAGTAGCCGCCATGCGGGAGGGGGCGCGATCTGCGTGCGGGCACGCATGGAATGAAGGTTTAGGAATTCGCCGCGGGAAAGGCAGGATCCGCGTGCGGGCACGCATGGAATGAAAGTGTCGGAATTAGCCGCCACGCGGGCGGGGCACCATCCGTGCGCGGGCACGCATGGAATGAAGGTTTAGGAATTAGCCGCCGCCATGCGGGATCCGTGTGCGGGCACGCATGCAACGAAGGTTTTGGACTTAGCCGCCATGCGAAATCGCCGCCACGCGGGAGGGGCAAGATCCACGTGAGGGCACGCATGGCATGAAAGTTTAGGAATTAGCCGCCATACGGGAAGGGCACGATCCGTTTGTGGGCACGCAGGGGATGAGGGTTTAGGAACTAGCCACGCGTAAGGGGCGCTCCAAGGGGCGGCGCAAGGACTTTTGGGATTCAAAATATGTTTAGGCGCTTAGTTCTTAGGGTTTAAGGCTTAGGGTTTTAAGGTCTACGAGCTCAACGCAAAGCCTTCTGGATGTTTTTCACATACCCATGACCCTAGACATGCCGAGCTCAAGAGATCGAAGGGTCGATGCTCAATCATGCGACGAGGATGACGGCGGCGCGCGCCAGCCGGCGCCACGGCGCGCACGCGCCAACGCGGGCGGACTGCATCCGAACGGGAAACACGCGCGCGAAGTTTTTATGAATCTTCTGAATCGCATGAGTCCTCTGTGCCCCGCGTGCGATGGGAGTTTAGGAAGGAACCACCACGCGGGAAGGCCAGGATCCGCGCGCGGACCCACATGGAGGTTTTAGGGTTTAGCCGCCATGCGGGAGGGGGCATGATCCGCGTGCGGGCACGCCTGGAATAATGGTTCCGGAAGTCGCCGCCACGCGGGAGGGGCAAGATCCGCGTGCGGGCACGCATGGAATGAGGGTTTAGGAATTAGCCGCCATACGGGAAGGGCACCATCCATGTGCGGGCACCCATGGAATGAAAATTTAGGATTTAGCCGCCATGCGGGACCCGTGTGCGGGCATGCATGGAACGAAACTTTCGGAAGTAGCCGCCGTGCGGGAGGAGACACGATCCGTGTGCGGGCACGCATGGAATGAAGGTTCCGGAATTGGCCGCCACGCGGGAGGGGCGCGACCCGTGCGCGGGCACGCATGGAATGAGGGTTTAGGAATTAGCCGCCGTGCGGGGGGGGTGACATCCGTGCGCGGGCACGCATGGAACGTGGGAAGTGCACGACCCGCGTGCGGGCACGCATGGGATGCGGGTTTAGGAATGAGCCGCGCGTGATGGGTCGCTTCAAGGGCGGCGCAAGTGCTTTTAGAATTTTCAATCCTCATAAGCTCTGAACTCTTAGGGCTTCGGGTCCACAAGGGCGCGAACATGTCAACGTACTGGGCGTGTCAGACACTGGCGCGGTGCTCGCATCCCACTCGCCCTAGAAACCCATAGCATAGCAAGACGCGCACTCTGGCGCATGGAGGTTTTGAAATTAGCCGCCATGCGGGAGGGGCAGAATCCGCGCGCGGGCACGCGTGGAATGGGGATTTAGGAATTAACCCCCCAGGGCGGCCAGGAAGGGCCATGATTTGTGGATCATTTAAGATAATATGTGATACTGGTCGTTTAGGGTTTAGGGCTTAGGGTCCACTAGCTCAACTCGATGACCCTAGACATACCGAGCTCAATTCATCGAGGGGCCGATGCTCAATCATGTGACGAGGATGACGGCGACGCGCGCCAGCCGGCGCCACGGTGCGCACGAGCCAACGCGGGCGGAATGGACCCGAAGGGGAAACACGTGCGCGAAGCTTTGATGAATCTTCTGAATCGCATGAGTCCTCTGTGTCCCGCGTGCGATGGGAGTTTCGGAATTTGCCACCACGCGGGAGGGCCACGATCCTCGCGCGGGCGCGCATGGAAAGGGGGGGGTATGAATTAGCCGCCATGCGGGAGGAGACACGATCCGAGTGCTGCCACGTATAGAATGGAAGTTCAGGAATTAGCCGCCATGCGGAAGGGGCACGGTCCGTGTGCGTGCACGCATGTCATGAAGGTTTAAGAATTAGCGGGCACGCGGGCACGCATGGAACGAAACTTGTGAAAAGGGGCACGGTCCGTGTGTGGGCACGCATGGAATGAAGGTTTAAGAATTAGCCGCCATGTGGGATCCGTGGGCGGGCACGCATGCAACGAAACTTATGGAATTAGCCCGCATGCGGTAGGAGTCGCGATCCGTGTGCGGGCACGCATGCACTGATGGTTTAGAAAATTAGCCACAATGCGGGAGGGGCACGATCCGTGTGCGGGCACGCATGGAATGAGGGTTTAAGAATTAGCCGCCATGCGGGAAGGGCACAATTCGTGCGCGGGCACGCATGGAATGAAAGTTTAGGAATCAGCCGCCATGCGGGAAGGGCACGATCCTTGTGCGGGCACGCACGGAATCAGGTTTAGAAATGAGCCGCGCATAGGGGCGTTCCAAGGGCGGCGCAAGGGCATTTAGGATGTCAACAGTTATAAGCTTTTAGCTCTTGGGGCTTAGAGTTCAAATTCGATTCCTTGCTCCCGTCAGTCAATGTTGCGCGTCCGTCCCAGCTTGTGCCACATCCTGGGTCCGATTCTGTCCACGTCGTTGCCGTTCTCGGCTCCATTTCCCTCATCCGCCTTCCCCTGGCCCGCCAGCTCCTCTTACTCCTCTTGCTCAAGCCAGTGCCCCTCCTCCTTCCTCATCATCATGTTATTCCTTTTGTTCGGCGCCCTGAGCATGTGCAAACTTCTCGTTCTCCTCGTCCTCCTCGTCCTCGTCCTCCTCGTCGTTCTTCTCCTCCTCCATTCCTCTTCCTTATGCAGAACCTGTCGCACCCCGAAGCCAGTGTTTAGTGCGGGCCGGGCGTTTCGCCTGAGACCTCCTCACCACTCATGACTCTGAATATCAAAAGTGGCAACCGCTTCGCAGATGGAGGGCGGGTCGTTTTGTCGTTTTCAACATGTGGCTCTCGCCTTAGCGCGTCGCGCATTCGTTGTAACCAGTTACAAGAGTTTCACGGAATGTGTGGCTCTCGCCTCAGCGCGGCGCACATTCGCCGAACAATTGCAACAGCTTCACGGATTGAGGGCGGGTCGTTTTCAACATGTGGCTCTCGCCTTAGCGCGGCGTCCATTCGTTTTAACAAGTTAACAAAGTTTCACTGGTTGAGGGCGGGTGGTTTTCAACATGTGGCTCTCGCCTTAGGGCGGCGCACGCTCGCCTTGAACATTCGCAACAGTTTCACGGATTGAGGGCGGCTCCTTTTCAAAATGTGGTTCTCGCCTTAGCGCTGCGCACATGCGTTGGAAACACTTACAGGAGATTTCCGGATTCCCATCATCAAAGTGCCCGAAACGCTTTCTTGAAGGATTCAGGGCTATGCGGCTGCAGCAGTTATGTTGCTTCGCTGTATTGAAGGTTCTGGAGGTGTTTTACTTTTAAAAAAGCAGCATGCAGGTTAACCCGTGGCGTTGGAATCACGAGAACAATGTTTCGGCATGTTTCCAGGTTTTCAAACGATTGTTTTCCAAAGAGGCAGTTCTCCCAATGGAAATCAACCGTTGCATGGGGCCTATGAAGAGGGAGCTTGGAGGAAGGGATTATCCCAACATGGCTGATGAAACTTGGGTGTACACTGGTCCTCCTCCTCCTCCTGCTCCTGCTGCTGCTGCTCCTCCTCCTCCTCCTCCTCCTCCTCCTCCTCCTCCTCCTCTTCGTCTGATGTACAAGCCCCCCCATTCATGATTGCACCCCGCACAAAGGGTTACTTTTTTGGGGCCAAGGTCATGTATAAAATCAGGTGGTGAGAAACGAAGTCAGCGCAATGGGAAGGAATGGGTGGGACGGGTCGGATGCCAGATCTGGCATGAGCGCACCTAGCTTGCCCGCAGCCCACCCTTCCCGTGTCCTCATCCGCCCATCCTCGACGCTTGTCCCCCCTTCTCCTCCCCACTTCTCCTCCTCCTCCTCCTCCTCCTCCTCCTCCTCCTCCTCCTCCTCCTCCTCCTCCTCCTCAGAGCGTTAGGGAAACTGACAACATCATGCTCTGCCTTGCTCTCCCACGACGCACTTAACAAGGACACCGCGCGCTGCCAGTGACCGATGCCCTCGGCAACGACAGCCCTGCCGCACGCGTTCACCGCGGCGCTGCAGCTGAATGCGTCTGGCTCCAGGCCCGCTGCCCGCAGCTCGGTCAGCAGACGCAGCGACTGCTCCCAGCGCCCGTCCTCTATGCACGCGGTGAGCCCCGTGTTCAGGCTGACCACAGTAGGTTCCAGCTTCGCTGCCGACATGCCCCGCAGCAGCACGAGTGCTAGCTGCCACTGCCGGCCCCTCTCGCACGCGCTGACCGCGGCGCTGTAAGAGATGGCGTTCGGCTCCAGCCTCGCGCTCTGCACGAGTCTCAGCAGCACCAGTGCGGGCTGCCACTGCCCGCCCTTGGCGCACGCGCTGATAGCGGCGTTGTAGCAGACCTGGCCTGACCCGTGGACGGACGACTGCGTGCTCATCGCCCCCGCGTGGGTGAGCAGGGCATCTGCCAGCTGCAGCCCAAGAAGGGGCAGGCCCGTGGACGCCATCCGCGCGCCAGCCATTCAACCGCACACTGCGACCTTGCGCGCTGAGGCATCACAGCCAGCGCCGACGATCAAAAGATGGTCACCAGAACGCGGGCCACCGAGAACATGGGCACCTCCTCCGAGGGCACAACCAGAACGAATCCCAGTCCAGGGCGGAGGGACTGCCACGCCCAAACGCTTGCTTGGTCACAGCCCCGGCGGTCGCTCAGCACGGTCGAAGCGGAAGCCAAGCCGCAGAAGCACGACGAGCAGAACCGGGGGAGGGCCTATTGAGACAGCGGGGGCTCTCCCGCCAGGCCCCACCTGCTAGAACACTGCCTCCCGACCCCCTCCAGGACCTGGCCCGTTTTTCGAGGCGGGGTCCAGCCGCGGCGACAGAAGGCCTCGGGTGGCGGGGTCAGGCGACGTCGTATGAAACACAGCGGTGGCATGCGGTCAGGAAGCAGTGATCATCGACTCCCCCCATGAAGCATGCTTGTTTGATAGAGGCTGATGTTGCCATTTTCGCCCAAGAGCAAAGCTAGGACATCAAAACCGCCCTCCTTCACCAACGGATGGACGACCTTCTGTGGGCCATCGTGCGCCGTCCGCTTCCATGTATGAGATCTCTTGTTACCGCCACTGTAAACGAACGCTGTGGGCACTGCAATACTCAAATCCTGACGTGCGTTGGCCTGGTCAACATGTCGTCTGATCACCTCTTAGAGCTCTGGGCCCCACAAACACCATCGAGCCGTCCTGCTGGTGCCTGGAATGCACGTCTGGCGGATGTACGACCCCTGACGACAACCCAGCGGCCTGAGCCTGTGTCAGACACCCCCCGACAGTTACGAGGCCAGGATCTATCCGTATCTGCTGCCTGGGGCACAAACGTCCTGCCCCCCCCCCGTCGGCGGTGAATCTGGCTGGATTGTCGTCCCCTGGGGCCTCAACATCTCAATATCCGCCGCCAGACGAGGGCCCCTAAGATCGATCCTCCAGGCGCTGCTTATGCATACAACGCCGCCGCAGAGACGCGACGTGGGCACCGAGCGGAGCGTCTCGGAGTCCCTCTGAGGTCCACGCGCCAAAACAGATAAGCAAGTGCTTGGAGGTCCCGTGCCCAGGAATTCCGGGCTGGCCTGGGCGATCATGGGCACTCCTGGGATCCGCCGCGTGGCAATCCACAATGCCCTCGAACTGCAACACCCGTGGGGGGCCCAAAAGCACCGCAGGCCAGAAGGTGATGCTGGGGGCCCGAGCTGGAGCCGCACGGACGGCATGTTGGGCCGTCCTGGTGGACCCTTGGGGCTTGCACAAAAGGCCCACGCCATCTGAAAACCGATACTTTAACTCGTCTTGACATCCTCGGTCTTTTCTGAATAAGCGGAAGAAGACGAAGAAGAAACAACAACAACAACAACACCAACAACAACGACAACAACGACAACAACAACAAAAGCAACAGTAACAACTAAACCAACAACACCAACAACACCAACAACAGCAACACCAACAACAACAACAACAACAACAATCATTTTACCCGAACGCTCAGTGTTCTCACCAGTGCCAGGGTTTTCATACGACGCCCGCCAATACCCCCACTTTGTGGGGGGGCCGGTTCAAGCTCTACCACATTTCCAAACGACTCTTCGCCACCACCCACACCCAGCTTCCCGCCCTATGACGTTCGGACACTTCACTTCGTGGCATGCGGACGACCGTGGCTACTACACTGGCGCATGGTTTCAATGACTTCTTGTGGTAACATCTTGTGGAAACTAGCTTAGTATACGACGACGACGATTTGAAGGGCCTACGGTGCGAAAAATGATTTTATGTTGCGCGGTGCTAAAATTCCTACGAAACCCAATGGTTTTTGAAGATTTCGGCGTGCGCACGGAAAGAAAAAACGAATGTGTCCCGCATGGTATTATTTGACAGGGATGATGGCCCTGGCAGGTGCGCAACCGTTGTTGGAGAAGTTCGAAGCACGTGAAGAAGTTGATCGCAAAAGCCCGTTTGACAGAAATGTTTAAAAAAGTTGGGTTTCCTGCAAATCCGCAAGAGCGCGCGGGATGAAATTGTGACACTTTTTTTTAAAAAAAAAAAACCATTGGTTTTTTGATGTTTTTATGTTGAAATCGTTACGAACACTAAGGTTTTGGAAGGATTTCGTCTTGCGCGCGCGAATGTCCACTTTACCTTATTTTTTGCAAGGGATTCTTGAAGTTTGGTTATTTTAGAACAAGAAATTTCATTTTATAGTGTTTTTTGCAAGGGACAGCGGGGGGGAACAAAACAACCGGATCTTGATGACATCGTATTACCTGAGGCTTCCTCACGAAAATTATGAAAATGTAGCTGCGGCCTAGGCGCGGCGAGGGGGTCGCGCACCAGGGGTCCCAACAATAATTATTCTTTAGAATAAATAATGTTCAACAACAACAACAACGACAACTACAACGACACACCACCAACAACAACAGCAACAATAGCAACATCAGCAACAACAACAATATCAGCAGCAACAACAACGACAACAACAACAGCAACAGCAACAGCAACAGCATCATCAACAACAACAACACCAACACCAACACCAACACCACCAACAACCGCAACGCCATACACATAAGTTTGTTGTGCCCAGCGCGGATCCAAGAAATCCGCGCGGAACGCCACAAATTTATGGTGATTCGGCTTTTGGTTTCTTCTTCGATTTTCTGAACCAAGGTCGTCCCTGACATCTTGGGCCGTCTTGGTGGCCATTGGGGCCTGCACAAGAGGCCCAAGCCATCTGAACACTTGTACTTTGTCTTGACACCCTCGGCCTGCTCTAAAGGAAAAGTAAAAACCACATAAGCATATGTAAACTTTGGGAGGTCCGCGCGGATTTCGTGGACGTGGGCTGGACCTCCCTCCCTGGCGCGCGGAGGGCGCCAGCGGCGGCGCCGGAGGCTCCTCCTGGGGTGGGCTCCAGCGCGGGTCCAAGAAATCCGCGCGGAACTCCCAAAATTTATGTTTATGCCGTTGTTCTCTCTTTTCGATTTTCTGAACCAAGGTCGTCCATGACATCTTGGGGCTTGCACAAGAGGCCCACGCCATCTGAACACCTATACTTTTACGCGTTTTGAAATCCTCGGCCTTTTCTGAGTTCAGGTCGTCCATGACGGCCCTCGAGGCCCCAAATCATCGCCGGAGACGGCACCCAACGCTGCGAAGAGGGCCCCAGGGTGGCCACCAATGAGGACGCCACCGCCGCGCCACCACAGGCTGCCTGGCCGAAGAGAGCCCCCAGCGGCCCCCAGGAGGCCCCCAAGAGGACCACGAGAAGATGCCAAGGGTCCCCCCCAAAAGACCTTCGAAGAGGCCCCCAGTACAGAGAGAGAAAGAGGGAGAGAGAGAGAGAGAGAGAGAGCGAAGCCAACAGAAAGGTCCGCGACCCCCAAGAAGCGCCCGAGATGCCCCCGAGAAGCTCCCAAGAAGATCCCAAGAGGCCCCCACGAGAAAGAGAGAGAGAGAGAGAAGCCTTCGAAGAGACCTCCGCGCGGCCTCCTGTCCACGACCCACCAGATGTCCGCCGCCCCCTTTTGCCTGCAGAGGGGTGCACGGCGTGCAGTACGTTTCTAGGCTGCGGCTAGCCCTTGGGGCTCCACCCGCCGGACACCCCGAAGGCCCAGAAAAGAATGCGAAGCCAAGAACGTCGCCTCCGAGGCGGCAAAGATGACCCATTGCATCCCCGAAGCTGGTCCCAAAACGCCTCGAAGACGGCCAAGGTCTCCCCAAGACAACCCAAGATAGTCTCAAGACGCCTCCGGGAGGCCCAAGATGACTCCAAGACGGCCCAAGATGCCCTCCAGATGGCCTAAGAGGCTGGAAGAGGACATCTAGGAAGCCAAAGTTATTACCTGCCACAAGGTTGTTGAGCATGTGTGGCGTTCTCTTTTGTTATTTGCCCTCTCGCTCTCTCTCCCTCACTCGTGAAGCTTCCGACAGCCGAAGACGGCCCTAAAGGCTTCCAAGATAGCTCCAAGACAGCCCCAGAAGCTCCCAAGAGGGCCCCAAGACGGGCCAAGAAGGCCCCAAGACAGACAGCCCAAGAAGCCCCCAAAAGGGCCCTCAAGAGGACTCAGGAGTCAGACAAGTGAGGAAGCTCCCAGGAATCCTCCAGGAGGCCTCAACGAGAGAACTTCTATTCCCCCTCCACCTCCTTCCTCTCCACATCCTGTCCCTTCCTTCCCAAAGTGTTCCCCGAAAGGTTTCCACAACAGCTGGGGAACATGCAGTTCAATAGCTTAGCCAAGTTTTGGCCCAACGTTTGACCACATCGGCATTTCCAGAAAGGCAGCGGGCGGCGGTGAGTCGCCGTAAGCGTCTTCGATGTATAGAGAGAGAGAGAGAGAGAGAGAGAGAGAGAGAGAGAGAGAGCGCCGTGGACTACCACAGCACAACCCAGACATCGTATCGCATTAAGTGGCCTCTGGGAGGCCCATGGAGAAGCCCGCTCAGAAATGCCGGTCCTCGATTCTCGATCCTCAACCCTCCTCACATCGCACCGTGTGGGCGCCCGTGCACTTCGCCGGCTCCAGAAACCCCTAAAGAATGCGCATCCCTGGCGGGTACCACCCCCCCTTTGCCTCCGCCGTCTCCCGCCGGCCTCAGACGCTCCAATGACCCCGACCCCTTGCCCTGGATAGGCATGCGCCCCGCAACCGTCTTCGGTTGCCCAAGAAACCCGCAAGCAACCCCCAGAGGCGAAAAGGTAGGAAAAGCCATGCCTCCTTCCCTGTCCCCCTGCTCACTGCCTGCTGTCTCCGCCCGGCGCCCCTACCACCTGCCCGCCCGCCCCGCAAGCCCCGGCCTCCCGCTTGCGCGTTCGTCGTCGTCCGCCTGCTTCTCCTCTCCTCTGCCCCTT